CGTGTAGAGCGAGAGGATTTCAATCAGTGCTGTCGCAACATAGGAATGGGCAGCAACTGTGACCAGACATCAAACAAGCTGAAACAGGCCCATTCCCCTGGTGCGTGTGCAGCTACACGGCACGGAGAGGAAATATCTGGGACTTACATTGTTGTCGTCAAAGCTGCCGGCACCCACGTTGCCGGTGTCTACGCTACCGGAGCCCTGCAAGAAGAAGCATTTCTTATGGGTATTGCAGTGACATACAGAGCTCCAATGAATATTCTATTGACCGAGCAGAGGCGTGGACAATGTACAGCATCTGGGGAGGTGGGGTGTTGATTCCAGTGCTTCTCTGGACAATTTACACCAGTGGCAACCTGGCCCCATTGCCTGTAATGAAGCTACAGCAAATTGACATGAACTCAGGATATGGCTCCAACAGCTTTCTCTGTTGGAAACCAGGAGATGTTTCCTGGTAAAGCTGCAATATCTAAATCCTATAAATATGTTAAAGCCAGCGTGAGTGACGGGATAAAAGGGTGCCGGGTGCTAGTTTGCCTAGAGCCATGTTTCTTAAACTGTGTTCTGCGGACAACTCTCAGGTGCGCCGTGGCTGTTTGAAGAAAAAAAACGGCTGCTAGAGCTGAAGGGCGACCCACGTTCCTCCCATGCTTCTGTGCCCGGCTTGCAACCGCCTGGGAAAGCTCCGTGCCTTGGTTATGCCCCTTGTTAGAGGGGAGGAGCATTGCAGGGCCGGCAATAGGGCCGGCTCTGATTGGCTGTCTCTGCTGCTAGTCTGAGGATCCTGCCTGCCAGGGGAGAGAACTGACCTAAAGCTGCCACCCCAACCGGGTATTTGCACCGCTGCCTTTAGCCCTCGCTTGTAACCCAGGACAGCCGAGGGGGGCCAGCACCTTCCACCCTCTTGCACAGACAAGGCCCTTCCCTTCAGTATTCTGTGTCAAAAATAACGGAGCCAGGGGCTAGAACTATCGAAGGACAAACATTAAGCAGGAAGGAACCCACTATGAATTGGGGGACAGGGGTAAGGCCCTCAGTGCCCCTAATGTTCCTTCTTTGTTTGACAACTTTTTTTTATTGACAGGATAGCGATTGACAGGTCACGTGTGAGATTAGAAAAGATGCTCCACTTTTCAGAAGATAACTAAAAGACACAAATTATCATCGGCAGTGAGCAAATATTGTCGCTGGCAATAAAAGTGTAAAAGTGTCATGTTAGGGGTTTTTTTTGGTTTAAGAAACACTGGCCTAGGGGGTTTTACCACCAAAGGATTTGGGTGAGCTGGGCAGCTGCGCGGGCGCCAACCGATGGGGGGTGCCTGATGGCAGCTGTAAGGGGCGCACAGTGTCCCTTACAGCTGCCATCAGGAGCCACGTGCCCGGCTCCCACAGCACTGGGCCTGCAGCGCCGGTCAGCAGCACCCTTCCTGCCACAGCTGTGGGGCTCTGCACAGCCCGGCGTCTGCGCCAGCAGTGCTCGGCAGACCAGGCCGGGCAGCGCATGCGCCGTGCGCCCCAGGGGTGGGCTGTGCACCAGTGGCCATGACCAGCCCGCGCATGCGCTCTGCGCCCATGGTCGGCACCGCACGCCCGGGCCCAGGGTGCCGAAAGGGCTCGGGCCGGCCCTGGCTGTACGTGAGCAGCGAGAGAGAATAGCAGTGAGGCAAAGTGTGACAGTCTGACAGCAAAGAGAACTGTAGATACTCACCACTCTCCAGAACTGGTTGTTTTGCTGGAAGAGAAAGAGAAGTTAGGAACTTCTTCTTTGCTTGTTCCCATAATATAAGAACTAGGGGCCACCAAATGAAACTAATGGGCAGCAGTTTTAAAACAAATAAAAGGAAGTTTTTCTTCACACAGCGCATAGTCAACCTGTGGAACTCCTTGCCTCAGGAGGTTGTGAAGGCTAGGATTATAACACAGTTTAAAAGAGAACTAGATAAATTTATGGAGGTTAAGTCCATCAATGGCTATTAGCCAGTCTGGGTGAGGAATGGTGTCCCCAGCCTCTGTTTGTCAGAGGGTGGAGATGAACGGCAGGAAAGAGATCGCGTGATCATTATCTGATCAATCCACTCCCTCTGGGACACCTGCATTGGCCACTGTCGGCAGACAGGATACTGGGCTGGATGGACCTTGGGTCGGATTCAATATGGCCGTTCTTATGTTCTTATGAAGGCATCCTGCTCAGATCCACACCAGGGGAGCAAAGGTCTGAACTTCAGAACAGCCACCTCCGATCTCACCAAGAGGCCGACCTCTCCCAGTGTTCCTCCCCCAGCTAGACCAGAGGAATCATGTCTCCTAGAAAGCCCATCATTCCAGTGCTGGCTTCATCGATAGATGCAGGTATTGTCACCCCAGCGCCATGCAAGCGCTTCAGCTCTTAGGCCAGGCTAAGATCCCCTCCCAGCTGTGTTCATCATTCATAGAATTATGACTCTGTATAGTCTGTGAGGCCGTGTGTACCCCCACTCAGGTGACAGGGTGGAAATTTAACCTAACGGCCGAGGATTCAACCAAGGGATCCCTGAGAGGACCCAGTTGAGCCGGAGTTCCTAGCACTGGTGCCAGGAGCGGCGCATTCCCTGTGATTTCGGAAGGATCCCTCAGGAGTCATTCAGCAGGTGCCCAAAGGACCTGTGGGATGCCTGGCCACTCAGCTTGCCACCTGTAAGGGGCGCACAGTGTCCCTTACAGCTGCCATCAGGAGCCACGTGCCCGGCTCCCACAGCACTGGGCCTGCAGCGCCGGTCAGCAGCACCCTTCCTGCCACAGCTGTGGGGCTCTGCACAGCCCGGCGTCTGCGCCAGCAGTGCTCGGCAGACCAGGCCGGGCAGCGCATGCGCCGTGCGCCCCAGGGGTGGGCTGTGCACCAGTGGCCATGACCAGCCCGCGCATGCGCTCTGCGCCCATGGTCGGCACCGCACGCCCGGGCCCAGGGTGCCGAAAGGGCTCGGGCCGGCCCTGGCTGTACGTGAGCAGCGAGAGAGAATAGCAGTGAGGCAAAGTGTGACAGTCTGACAGCAAAGAGAACTGTAGATACTCACCACTCTCCAGAACTGGTTGTTTTGCTGGAAGAGAAAGAGAAGTTAGGAACTTCTTCTTTGCTTGTTCCCATAATATAAGAACTAGGGGCCACCAAATGAAACTAATGGGCAGCAGTTTTAAAACAAATAAAAGGAAGTTTTTCTTCACACAGCGCATAGTCAACCTGTGGAACTCCTTGCCTCAGGAGGTTGTGAAGGCTAGGATTATAACACAGTTTAAAAGAGAACTAGATAAATTTATGGAGGTTAAGTCCATCAATGGCTATTAGCCAGTCTGGGTGAGGAATGGTGTCCCCAGCCTCTGTTTGTCAGAGGGTGGAGATGAACGGCAGGAAAGAGATCGCGTGATCATTATCTGATCAATCCACTCCCTCTGGGACACCTGCATTGGCCACTGTCGGCAGACAGGATACTGGGCTGGATGGACCTTGGGTCGGATTCAATATGGCCGTTCTTATGTTCTTATGAAGGCATCCTGCTCAGATCCACACCAGGGGAGCAAAGGTCTGAACTTCAGAACAGCCACCTCCGATCTCACCAAGAGGCCGACCTCTCCCAGTGTTCCTCCCCCAGCTAGACCAGAGGAATCATGTCTCCTAGAAAGCCCATCATTCCAGTGCTGGCTTCATCGATAGATGCAGGTATTGTCACCCCAGCGCCATGCAAGCGCTTCAGCTCTTAGGCCAGGCTAAGATCCCCTCCCAGCTGTGTTCATCATTCATAGAATTATGACTCTGTATAGTCTGTGAGGCCGTGTGTACCCCCACTCAGGTGACAGGGTGGAAATTTAACCTAACGGCCGAGGATTCAACCAAGGGATCCCTGAGAGGACCCAGTTGAGCCGGAGTTCCTAGCACTGGTGCCAGGAGCGGCGCATTCCCTGTGATTTCGGAAGGATCCCTCAGGAGTCATTCAGCAGGTGCCCAAAGGACCTGTGGGATGCCTGGCCACTCAGCTTGTAAGAGAAATCATCCCCTGCAAGGCTCTGGCAAATCCTCATGAGGCCCCATCGTGGGAATGGGGATATTTCCCACAACCCTGCAGAGATCTCCCAGGTGCAGGGCACGGTGGGTGACTGTCAAAGTCCCACTTCCGAGATAGATCATATGCACCCAAAGGAATTGCTGAGTTGAGCTCCCCTGGGCTCTCTGCGTGGTATCACACAGCCTCATCCACCATGTCTCAGGTGTGCCCCAGAGACGGGGCGAGCAAGTCAACCTGCCAGCAGCCTCAGCAGATTTTCATTAGTCATGTGGGGTGGGAGAATTTCCATGCTGCCTGAACACCACGGGAAAGGCAACACTGCTTCCAGCAGGCAAATGTTACCAGACCCCAGACTAGCTGAATTGGGGCCAGTCGCCGGGTGTGTGCACCGCTACACGCCACAGAGGGGAAATCGCTGGTACTCACATTGTTGTCATCAAAGCTGCCATCACCGACGTTGCCGGTCTTTACACTACCGGACTCCTGCAAGATGAGAAATATTCATTAGGTTTATTGTGGAAACATCTGTAAGGCTCCAGAGGCTAGTTCATTATCCCATTCGTGCCGTGGAGAATATATAGCATCTGGGGATGTGGCGTGTTGCTTCCAGCATTTCTCTGGACAATTTATGACAGTCAGATCATGGCCCCATTTACTTATATGAAGCTACAGTAAATTTTCATCAACTGGGGATCTGTCCCCAACACCATCCTTATACACTGTCAGAAACCAAGAGATAATCCTTGGGAAAGCTCTGACATCAGAGATCTGCAGATTTTCCCCGCTGAACCCGACTGACGGAATAAAGAGATTCAGAAGGGCAGGTGCTAGGAGGGTTTTCCAACAAGGGTTGGTCTGTGAGTGAGCAGCGAGACAGAACAGCAGTGAGGCAAAGGGTGACAGTCCAATAGCAAAGGGAACGCTGATACTCACCACTGACCAGAACTGGTTGTTTTGCTGGAAGAGAAAGAGAAATTAGGAACGCATCCTGCTCAGGGCCCCACCAGGTAGCACAGGCTGTACCTCCAGAATAGACACATTAGATCTGAACAATAGCGCAGTCTAGTCTGATCTCTCTCCCTGGGCTGGAACAGGGGAATGGGCCCCCCAAGCTGGTCTCCATTTTCATGACTAAACCACAAAATCTCATGACTCATATTTTATTGGCTCAGAATTTTAATGACAGAACAAAGCAATCATGACTCAGCCGGCCTCATCACTACCATGGACCAGAGATTCTCAAACCAGGGGTCATGAGCCCTAAGAGGGTTGCAAGGTTATTATGTGGGGGAGTCCAAGAGTCAGCAGCCTCCACCAGCTTGCTCTGCTTTTCCTCCAGATTTTAGAATAATGTTAAATAGATAAAAATGTGCTTTTCCTTTCTAAGGAGGTATCATTCATGGGTTTTCTGCGTGAATGGGAACATCAGCACAAAAGTTTAAAACCACTGGTCAAAGGAACTACTGAGAGCCACGGGTAATAAGTCCTCAGTGCGACTCTCCCACTTTGGAACTGATGCTCTGTTGAGATCTCCTCATAACTAAATACTTCTCTTATTTGTAGGTATCTGGATCACTTCTCATAGTCTCTAGGCCATGTGTTGTTCCCCACCAGATGACGTGATGTGGGTTTAATCAAACAGGAGAGGCGTCAACCCAGGTGTTCTTGACAGAACCCCATTTACCGAAGCTCCGAGCACTAGTCCCAAGAGCACTGCATTCCCTGTGCTTTTGGAAGGATCCCTGATGAGAGTTTTTGGTGCTGTCCAAAGGACCTGTGGGACACTTCATGCCTGTGCAGTGCACTTGCGGGAGAAGGAATCATCCTCCCATGAGCGAGTGGGGAAGCTCATGAGGCCCTGGTGGGAATGGGGACGTATCCCCAAGCCCTTGGCATATCTCCCAGGAGCAATGCATTGTGGGTGATTGTCAGAGAGATTCTTACAAGATGTTTCCCGGTTTCCCAAAGGAATTGTGGCCATAACTCCATCCCATCGGCCCTGGCAATCCCATATCAGCCCCAAACATGTGTTCGCTGGGGGTCCTCCAAGGGGACTCCCAGGAGACGTGTCTCCTGCAGGACATTAAAGAGCTTTTTCTGGTCATGTCTCATTGCCACCCCAGGGACTGAGAGAGAAGAGCTTGACCGGCCCTAAGGCTCTGCAGACTTTCATAAGCCATGTAGAGTGAGAGGATTTCAATCAGCACTGTCACAACGCGGGAATGTGCAGCCAATGCTCCTCACAGGCAAACTGTGACCAGACATCAAACTAGCTGACACAGGCCCATTCCCCTGGTGTGTGTGTGCAGCTACACAGTGCGGAGAGGAAATCTCTGGGACTTACGTTGTTGTCATCAAAGCTGCCAGCACCCACGTTGCCGGTGTCTACTCTCCCGGAGCCCTGCAAGAGGGGGAATTTATGATGGGTATTGTAGTGACATACAGAGCGCCAATGAATATTCTATTGACCAAGCAGAGGCGTGGACAATTTATAGCATCTGAGAATGTGAGGTGTTGATTCCAGTGGTTCTTTGGACAATTTACACCAGTGGAAACCTGGCCCCTTGCCTCTAATGAAGCTACAGCAAATTGACATAAACTCAGAATATGGGTCCAACATCATTCTCATTCACTGCTGGAAACCAAGAGATGTTTCGTGCACAAGTTGCAACATCCGAGTCCTATAAATGTGTTACACCCAATGTCAGTGATGGGATAAAAGGTGGAAATTGGGGTAGAGAGTTTTCCCAGAAAAGGGTTGGGCTGTTAGTGAGCAGTGAGAGAGAACAGCCGTGAGGCAAAGCGTGACAGTCTGACAGCCAAGAGATCTGCAGATACTCACCACTGACCAGAACTGGTTGTTTTGCTGGAAGAGAAAGAGGAGTTAGGAACGCACCCCGCTCAGCTACCCAGCATGGGGGAGGAGTTTGTAACTTCAGAACAGCCACCTTCTGATCTCACCAAGAGGCCAATCTCTCCCAAAGCTCCTCCCCCAGACAGAACAAAGGAATCCTGTCTACTAAAACCCCATCTTTCCAGTGCTGGCTTCATCACTAGACAGAGGTATTATCACCCCAATGCCACCCGAGCGCTTCAGCTCTTAGGCCAGGCTCAGATCCCCTCCCAGCTGTGTTCATCATTCAGAGAATTGTGACTCTGTTTTTATAGTCCACAAGGCCATGTGTACCCCCACTCTGATGACAAGGTGTAACCTAATGACTGAGCATTCAGCCAAGGGATCCTTTAGAGGACACAATCTATCCGGAGTTCCCAACACGGATGCCAGGAGCGGCGCATTCCCTGTGATTTCGGAAGGATCCCTCATGAGAGATTCAGCGGGTGCCCAAAGGACCTGTGGGATGCCTGTCCAGTGAGCTTGTAAAAGAAATGATCCTCCCAAGAGGCCCTGGCAAATCCTCGTGAGGCCCCATCGTGGGGATGGGGATATTTCCCACAACTCTGCAGAGATCTCCCAGGTGCAGGGCACGGTGGGTGACTGTCAAAGTCCCGCTTCCAAGATAGAGGATTTGCACCCACAGGAAGTGTGGAGATGAGACCCTCCTGGGCCCTCTGCATGGTATCACGCAGCCTCATCCACTGCGTCTCACGTCTGCCCAGAGACTGGGAGAGCAGGTCAACCTCCCATCAGCCTCAGCAGATTTTCATAAGTCGTGTGGGGTGGGAGGAATTTCCATGCTGCCTGGATAACAAGGGCTGGTCCCAAGAGCGCTGCATTCCCTGTGCTTTTGGAAGGGTCCCTGGTGACAGTTTTAGGTGGTGTCCAATGGACCTGTGGGTGCACTTGTGGGAGAAGGGATCATCTTTGCATGAGCTAGTGGGGGAGCGCATGAGGACCCAGTGGGGAGGTATCCCCAAGCCCTTGGGATATCTCCCAGGAGCAATGCATTGTGTGAGATTGTCAGAGACCCTCTTGCAAGATGTTTCTTGGCTTCCCAAAGGGATTGTGGAGGTAACACCGTCCCATCAGCACTGGCAATCCCATAGCAGCCCCAAATATGTGCTCTCCTGGGGGCCCACCGAGGGGAATCCCAGCAGAGATGCCTCCTGCAGGACGTTAAGGAGCCTTTTCTGGGCCTTTTCTCATTGCTACCCCAGGGACTGGGAGAGGGGAGCTTGACCTGCTCTAAGGCTCTGGAGCTTTTCAGAAGCCGTGTTCCCTCTTGCAAGATGTTTCCTGGCTTCCCAAAGGAATTGTGGAGGTAACACCAACCCATCGGCACTGGCAATCCCATATCAGCCTCCCAAACACGTGTTTGCCTGGGGGCCCACCGAGGGGATGCCCAGCAAAGGTGCCTCCTGTAGGACATTTAGCAGCATTTTCTGGGCCTTTTCTCATTGCTACCCCAGGGACTGGGAGAGGGGAGCTTGACCTGCTCTAAGGCTCTGGAGCTTTTCAGAAGCCGTGTAGAGCGAGAGGATTTCAATCAGTGCTGTCGCAACATAGGAATGGGCAGCAACTGCTCCTCACAGGCAAACTGTGACCAGACATCAAACAAGCTGAAACAGGCCCATTCCCCTGGTGCGTGTGCAGCTACACGGCACGGAGAGGAAATCTCTGGGACTTACGTTGTTGTCATCAAAGCTGCCGGCACCCACGTTGCCGGTGTCTACGCTACCGGAGCCCTGCAAGAAGAAGCATTTATGATGGGTATTGCAGTGACATACAGAGCTCCAATGAATATTCTATTGACCAAGCAGAGGCGTGGACAATTTATAGCATCTGAGAATGTGGGGTGTTGATTCCAGTGGTTCTTTGGACAATTTACACCAGTAGCAACCTGGCCCCATTGTCTGTAATGAACCTACAGCAAATTGACTGCCATCACCCACGTTGCCGGTCTTTACACTACCAGAGTCCTGCATGATGTGAAATATTTATTACATTTATTGTGGAAACACCTGTAAGGCTCCAATGGATAATTGATGGCATCTGGGCATGTGGTGTATTAATGCCAGTGCTTCTCTGGACAATTGATGCCAGTGGGAACATGGCCCCGTTTACTCCGCTGAAGCTACAGCAAATTTGCATCAACTGGGGATGTGGGCCCAACATCAAGAGATAATCCTGGGTAAAGCTGTGACATCAGAGAGCTGTGAATTTTCCCTGCTGACCCCGACTGATGGAATAAAAAGTTACAGAATTGGAGGAGGGGTAGCTCAGTGTTTTGAGCTAAACCCGGGGTTCTGAGTTCAATCCTCGAGGGGGCCATATAGGGATCTGGAGGAAAATATCAGTTGCAGAGAGGGTTTTGCCAACAAGGGTTGGGCTGTGAGTGAGCAGTGAGACAGAGAAGCAATGAGGCAAAGGAGACAGTCCGATAGCAAAGGGAACGGCTGATACTCACCACTGACCAGAACTGGTTGTTTTGCTGGAACAAAAAGAGAAGTTAGAAACGCATTCTGCTCAGCTCCCTAGCAGGGGCTTGTAACTTCAGAACAGCCACCTCTGATCCCACCAAGAGGCCAATCTCACCTAAGGCTCCTCCCCCAGACAGAACAGAGGAATCCTGTCTCCTAAAAAGCCCCAGACATAGGTCTTATCGACCCAGCACCACACTAGCACTTTGCTCTTATGCCAGGCTAAGATCCCTGCCAGCTCAGGGGTTCATCATTCATAGAATTCTGACTCTGCTTTTACACTCTGCAAGGCCGTGTGTACCCCCACTCAGGTGACAGGGTGGAAATTTAACCTAATGGCCGAGGATTCAGCCAAGGGATCCTTGAGAGGACCCAATTGAGCCGGAGTTCCTAGCACTGGTGCAGGGATCTGTGCCTGTGATTTTGGAAGGATCCCTCATGAGTCATTCGGCGGGTGCCCGAAGGACCTGTGGGATGCCTGGCCACTCGGCTTGTAAGAGAAATCATCCCCCACGAGGCCCTGGCAAGTCCTCGTGAGGCCCCATCGTGGGGATGGGGATATTTCCCACAACCCTGCAGAGATCTCCCAGGTGCAGGGCACGGTGGGTGACTGTCAAAGTCCCACTTCTAAGATTGAGGATGTGCGCCCAAAGGGATTGTGGAGATGAGACCCTCCTGGGCCCTCTGCATGGAATCACGCAGCCTCATCCACCACGTCTCACGTCTGCCCAGACACTGGGAGAGCAGGTCAACCTTCCATCAGCATCTACAGATTTTCACAAGTCATGTGGGGTGGGAGGATGGGAGGAATTTCCATGCTACCTGAACAACAAGGGGAAAGGCAGCTCTGCTTCCAGCAGGCAAATGTTGCCAGACTTCAGAATAGCTGAATTGGGGCCATTCGCCGCATGTGTGCACCGCTACACGGCACGGAGAGGAAATTGCTGGTACTCACATTGTTGTCATCAAAGCTGCCATCACCCACGTTGCCGGTCTTTACACTACCGGACTCCTGCAAGATGAGAAATATTTATTTGGTTTATAGTGGAAACACCTGTAAGGTTCCAGAGGATATTCCATCAGCCCATTGGGGCCAGGGAGAATATATAGCATCTGGCGATGTGGCATGTTGATTCTAGTGTTTCCCGGGATAATTTATGACAGTTGGATCATGGCCCCATTTTCTTATATGAAGCTACAGTAAATTTACATCAATTGGGGATGTGGCCGCAACACCATCCTTATACACTGCTGAAAACCAAGAGATAATCCTTGGGAAAGCTCTGACATCAAAGATCTGCAAATTTGCCCTGCCTGTGGGACACTTCATGCCTCTCCAGTGCACTTGCAGGAGAAGGGATCATCCTCCCATGAGCCAATGGGGGAGCTCATGAGGCCCCAGTGGGGATGGGGATGTATCCCCGAGCCCTTGGGATAGCTCCCAGGTGCAATGCATTGTGGGTGATTTTCTGCATCCCTCTTGCAAGATGTTTCCTGGCTTCCCAAAGGAATTGTGGAGGTAACACCAACCCATCGGCACTGGCAATCCCATATCAGCCTCCCAAACACGTGTTTGCCTGGGGGCCCACCGAGGGGATGCCCAGCAAAGGTGCCTCCTGTAGGACATTTAGCAGCATTTTCTGGGCCTTTTCTCATTGCTACCCCAGGGACTGGGAGAGGGGAGCTTGACCTGCTCTAAGGCTCTGGAGCTTTTCAGAAGCCGTGTAGAGCGAGAGGATTTCAATCAGTGCTGTCGCAACATAGGAATGGGCAGCAACTGCTCCTCACAGGCAAACTGTGACCAGACATCAAACAAGCTGAAACAGGCCCATTCCCCTGGTGCGTGTGCAGCTACACGGCACGGAGAGGAAATCTCTGGGACTTACATTGTTGTCGTCAAAGCTGCCGGCACCCACGTTGCCGGTGTCTACGCTACCGGAGCCCTGCAAGAAGAAGCATTTATTATGGGTATTGCAGATATACAGAGCTCCAATGAATATTCTATTGACCGAGCAGAGGCGTGGACAATGTACAGCATCTGGGGAGGTGGGGTGTTGATTCCAGTGCTTCTCTGGACAATTTACACCAGTGGCAACCTGGCCCCATTGCCTGTAATGAAGCTACAGCAAATTGACATGAACTCAGGATATGGCTCCAACAGCTTTCTCATCCGCTGCTGGAAACCAGGAGATGTTTCCTCGTAAAGCTGCAACATCCAAATCCTGTAAATGTGTTATACCCAAAGTCAGGGATGGGATAAAAGGGTTCCAGGTGCTACTTTGCCAAAGGGTTGGGCTGTTAGTGAGCAGCGGGAGAGAAGAGCAAAGTGTGACAGTCGGACAGCAAAAGGAACGGCTGATACTCACCACTGACCAGAACTGGTTGTTTTGCTGGAACAAAAAGAGAAGTTAGAAACGCATTCTGCTCAGCTCCCTAGCAGGGGCTTGTAACTTCAGAACAGCCACCTTTGATCTCACCAAGAGGCCAATCTCACCTAAGGCTCCTCCCCCAGACAGAACAGAGGAATCCTGTCTCCTAAAAAGTCCTAGACATAGGTCTTATCGTCCCAGTGCCACGCTAGCACTTCGCTCTTATACCAGGCTAAGATCCCTGCCAGCTCAGGGGGTTCATCATTCATAGAATTCTGACTCTGCTTTTACACTCTGCAAGGTCGTGTGTACCCCCACTCAGGTGACAGGGTGGAAATTTAACCTAATGGCCGAGGATTCAGCCAAGGGATCCTTGAGAGGACACAATTGAGCCGGAGTTCCTAGCTCTGGTGCCGGGAGCAGTGCATTCTCTGTGATTTCGGAAGGATCCCTCAGGAGTCATTCGGCGGGTGCCCGAAGGACCTGTGGGATGCCTGGCCACTCGGCTTGTAAGAGAAATCATCCCCCACGAGGCCCTGGCAAGTCCTCGTGAGGCCCCATCGTGGGGATGGGGATATTTCCCACAACCCTGCAGAGATCTCCCAGGTGCAGGGCACGGTGGGTGACTGTCAAAGTCCCTCTTTCAAGATAGAGGATGTGTGCCCAAAGGAAGTGTGGAGATGAGACCCTCCTGGGCCCTCTGCATGGAATCACGCAGCCTCATCCACCACGTCTCAGGTGTGCCCCAGAAAAGGGTGAGAGCAGGTCAACCTGCCAGCAGCCTCAGCAGATTTTCATAAGTCATGTGGGGTGGGAGGAATTTCCATGCTGCCTGGATAACAAGGGGAAAGGCAGCACTGCTTCCAGCAGGCAAATGTTGCCAGACTTCAGAATAGCTGAATTGGGGCCATTCGCCGCATGTGTGCACCGCTACACGGGACGGAGAGGAAATTGCTGGTACTCACATTGTTGTCATCAAAGCTGCCATCACCCACGTTGCCGGTCTTTACACTACCAGAGTCCTGCATGATGTGAAATATTTATTACATTTATTGTGGAAACACCTGTAAGGCTCCAATGGATAATTGATGGCATCTGGGCATGTGGTGTATTAATGCCAGTGCTTCTCTGGACAATTGATGCCAGTGGGAACATGGCCCCGTTTACTCCGCTGAAGCTACAGCAAATTTGCATCAACTGGGGATGTGGGCCCAACATCAAGAGATAATCCTGGGTAAAGCTGTGACATCAGAGAGCTGTGAATTTTCCCTGCTGACCCCGACTGATGGAATAAAAAGTTACAGAATTGGAGGAGGGGTAGCTCAGTGTTTTGAGCTAAACCCGGGGTTCTGAGTTCAATCCTCGAGGGGGCCATATAGGGATCTGGAGGAAAATATCAGTTGCAGAGAGGGTTTTGCCAACAAGGGTTGGGCTGTGAGTGAGCAGTGAGACAGAGAAGCAATGAGGCAAAGGAGACAGTCCGATAGCAAAGGGAACAGCTGATACTCACCACTGACCAGAACTGGTTGTTTTGCTGGAACAAAAAGAGAAGTTAGAAACGCATCCTGCTCTGCTCCCTAGCAGGAGCTTGTAACTTCAGAACAGCCACCTCTGATCCCACCAAGAGGCCAATCTCACCTAAGGCTCCTCCCCCAGACAGAACAGAGGAATCCTGTCTCCTAAAAAGCCCCAGACATAGGTCTTATCGACCCAGCACCACACTAGCACTTTGCTCTTATGCCAGGCTAAGATCCCTGCCAGCTCAGGGGTTCATCATTCATAGAATTCTGACTCTGCTTTTACACTCTGCAAGGCCGTGTGTACCCCCACTCAGGTGACAGGGTGGAAATTTAACCTAATGGCCGAGGATTCAGCCAAGGGATCCTTGAGAGGACCCAATTGAGCCGGAGTTCCTAGCACTGGTGCAGGGATCTGTGCCTGTGATTTTGGAAGGATCCCTCATGAGTCATTCGGCGGGTGCCCGAAGGACCTGTGGGATGCCTGGCCACTCAGCTTGTAAGAGAAATCATCCCCCAGGAGGCTCTGGCAAATCCTCGTGAGGCCCCATCGTGGGGATGGGGATATTTCCCACAACTCTGCAGAGATCTCCCAGGTGCAGGGCACGGTGGGTGACTGTCAAAGTCCCGCTTCCAAGATAGAGGATTTGCACCCACAGGAAGTGTGGAGATGAGACCCTCCTGGGCCCTCTGCGTGGTATCACGCAGCCTCATCCACTGCGTCTCACGTCTGCCCAGAGACTGGGAGAGCAGGTCAACCTGCTATCAGCCTCAGCAGATTTTCATAAGTCATGTGGGGTGGGAGGAATTTCCATGCTGCCTGGATAACAAGGGGAAAGGCAGCACTGCTTCCAGCAGGCAAATTTTACCAGACTTCGGATTAGCTGAATTGGGGCCATTCACCGGGTGTGTGCACCGCTACACGGCACGGAAAGGAAATCGCTGGTACTCACATTGTTGTCATCAAAGCTGCCATCACCCATGTTGCTGTTTTTTAAGCGAGCACAGTCCTGCAAGATGAGAAATATTAATTACGTTTATCGTGGAAACACTTGTAAGGCTCCAGTGGATATTCCATCAATCCATTTAGGCCATCGATAATATATAATATCTGGGGATGTGGCGTATTGGTTCCAGTGCTTCTCTGGACAATTGATGCTGGTAGGAACCTGGCCCCATGTACTTCTGTGAAGCTACAGCCAATTTACATCAACTGGGGATGTGGGCCCAACACCATCCTCATCCACTGCTGGAAACCAAGAGATAATCCTTGGTAAAGCTGATATCAGAGATCTGCAAATTTGCCCTATCGAAATCAACTGATGGCAGACACATAGAGATTTCTGCTGACACGGATTGGGCCCTTAGTGAGCAGCGAGAGGGAATAGCAGTGAGGCAAAGCGTGACAGTCAGATAGCAAAGAGAACTCCAGATACTCACCACTTTCCTGTAGCGATTGTTTTTCTAGAAGAGAAAGAGAAGTTAGGAATGCACCCTGTTCATCTCCCCACCAGGGTAGCAGAGGCCGTAACGCCAGAATAGCCATATCAGATTTGACCAATAGTCCAATCTAGTCTGATGTCCCTCTCTGGCCTGGAACAAAGGAATTGTCCCCCAAATCTTATCTCCCAATAAGCCCATTGTTCTAGTGCTATCGCAACTTGGCACAATGCAGCCAATGGTTCTTGCCGGCAAATATGACCAGACAGAACACAATATGAAAAGGAGCCATCCCCCGATGTGTGTGCAGCTACACGGCATGGAGAGGAAATATCTGGGACTCACGTCGTTGTCGTCAAAGCTGCCGTCACCCACGTTGCCGGTGTCTACGCTCCCGGACCCCTACAAAATGGGGAATATTTATTACGCCTGTTGTGGTAACACCTGTAGGGCTTCAAAGAATAGTCCATTGACCCAATGGCGCAACAGCCAGGCTACGGCTACACTGGCATGATTTTCCAGAAATGCTTTTAACAGAAAAGTTTTCCGTTAAAAGCATTTTCGGAACAGAGCGCCTAGATTGGCACGGACGCTTTTCCGCAAAAGCACTTTTTGTGGAAAAGCGTCCATGCCAATCTAGATGCGCTTTTGCGCAAAAAAGCCCCGATCACCATTTTAGCCATCGGAGCTTTTTTGCGCAAAACAGTACTGTCTACACTGTCTACACTGGCCCTCTTGCGCAAATGATTTGCGCAAGAGGGCCAGTGTAGACAGTGTAGACAGCTGGCAAGTTTTTCTGCCAAAGCAGATGATTTTGCAGAAAACCTTGCCAGTCTAGACATAGCCACAATGTATAACGTCTGAGGATGTGGTGTATTCCTTCTAGTGCGTCTCTGGACAATTTATACCACTGGGAGCCTGGCCCTGTTGATTCTAATGAAGCTACAGCAAATGTACATCAGCTGGGGACTGGGACCCAACCTCATTCTTATCCACGGCTGGAAACCAAGCGATAATCCTTGGTAAAGCTCTGACAGCCGAATACTGCACATTTTGTTGTGCCCAACCCAGCCGATGGGATCCAAGAGTTGAGCATGGCTGTTGTGTAGAGGATTTTGCCTGCAAAGGGTTGGGCTGTGAGTGAGCAGCGAGACACGATCGCAGAGGCAAAGCGTGACAGTCCGACAGCAAGGAGAACGGCTGATACTCACCACTGACCAGAACTGGTTGTTTTGCTGGAACAGAAAGAGAAGTTAAGGATGCATTCTGCTCAGGCTCCCCAGCAGGGAAGCAGAGCTTGTACTGCCTAGTAACTTCAGAATGGACGGAGGAAATCAGACAGATAGGCCAGTCTACCCTGCTGTCCCTCCCTGGGCTGTAACAGGGGAATGAGCCGCTCAGTCCTGTCTCCCGAAAGACCCCTTATTCCAGTGCTGTCCACATCAAAGCCATAGACATAGGTAAAATCACCCCTACGCCACACCAGCACTTTAGCTCTTATGCGCTGCTGGGGTCAGCTCCGTAGGTTACTTATTCATAGATATCTGGCTCTGCTTGTATAGTCTGCAAGCGACAGGCCATATGTTCCTCTCACTCAGATGGCATGATGGAAATTGAATCAGGTTGCAGAGGATTCAGCCAAGTTATCCTTAATAGGACACCGCTTAGCCTGTGTTCCTAGCTCTGGTGCCAGGAGCACTGCATTCCCTCTGATTTCAGGGAGATATTTATTGGAACCCTAAGGACCGGCGGGACACTTCATGCTGGCCCTGTGCACTCCTAGGAGAAGTCATCGTTCCATGAGGCCATGGCAAATTTTCATGAAGCCCCCCAGTGGGGAAGGGGAAATATCCCCAAACTATGCAGATATCTACCAGGTGCAGTGCATGGTGCAGGATTGCCAAAGACCCACTGCCAAATATTTCATCTGTGCTCAAAAGGATTGTGGAGATGACACTGTCCGGTCCACCATGGCAATCTCCCGCAAGTCTCCCGCAGATGTGTTCACCTGTGGACTTGCCAAGGTAGCTCCAAAAACCTCTTTTGGGCTGCCTCACTGCTACTCACATCTGGAGTATTGCGTCCAGTTCTGGGCCCCTCACTATAGTAAGGGTGTGGACGCATTGGAGAGGGTCCAGCGGAGGGAAACCAAAATGATTAGGGGGCTGAAGCACATGATTTATGAGAGGCTGAGGGAGTTGGGTCTGTTTAGTGTGAAGAAGCGAAGAGTGAGGGGGGATTTGGTATCAGCCTTATGGAGAGAGGCTGTTCTCAGGGGGGGCAGGTGGCAGAACAAGGAGCAACGGGCTCTAGTTGCAGTGGGGGAGGGCTAGGTTGGATCTTAGGAGAAACTATTTCCCTAGGCGGGTGGGGAAGCCCTGGGCTGGGTTCTCTAGGGAGGGGGTGGAATTTCCATCCCTAGTGGGGTTTAAGTCTCGTCTTGACAAAGTCCTGGCTGGGATGATTGAGTTGGGACTGGCCCTGCTTTGGGCAGGGGGCTGGACTTGATGACTCCTGAGGTCTCCTGGGATTCTATGATTCTACCGTGTAGGAGAGGAGATCAACCCGCTGTAAGTCCTTGGAGATGGTCATGAGTCATGCGGGGTAGGGATTTCAGAATGTAGCCGTGTAAGCCCTGAAAATCCTCGGGTGACACCGTTACACGTGCCGCAGGCTCTGCCGTATAAAGCTTAAAGGCGCTTTATGCTGCGGAGACTGCAGGTGCCAGGCCCATTCCTGGGGAGGGGGTTCCGCTGCGGACTCTGTAGCTGGGAATGGCGACCCCTGCCAGCCCGGCCTCTGGGGAGCCAGCATGGGTGGGACGCTGCAACAGGGTTGGGCCGGGCCTGCCAGGGACAGGGGCTGCTCTGCTGTCCTGCCGGAGTAGCCCCTGCCTGCCGTGAGCCCCGTGGGATGGGAGCAGTGCCCTGCCTAGGGCAGGTGTGGAGCTGCTCCAACCCCTACAGGTTAACCGCGACTGGTAAGCCTCACCCGTTAAGAGTGAGACTTCCCGGTTAACCATTTACATCCTACTGTGGAGTGGGAGGAATTTCCATGCTGCCTTTGTAACACAGGAAAATACAGCAAATGCTCCTTACAGAGAACTGTGACCAGACCTCAAACTAGCTGAAGCAGGGCCCATTCCCCTGGTGTGTGAGAAGCTACATGGCAAGGAGAGGAAATCTCTGGGACTCACGTTGTTGTCGTCAAAGCTGCCGGCACCCACGTTGCCAGTGTCTACGCTCCCAGAGCCCTGCAAGAAGGGGAATATTTATTACGCCTGTTGTGGTAACACCTGTAGGGCGCTGATGGATAGTCCATGGAACCAATGGAGCAATGGTCATTTTGTTGCATCTGGGGATGTGGGTACCAAGTCCCCTGCCTCTCTGGAAAACGTACCGAAGTGGGAGCCTAGCATAAATGATTCTAATGAAGCTACGGATAATTTATATCAGCTGGGGATCAGGCCCCAGAACCATCCTCATCCACTGCTGGAAACCAAGCGATAAGCCTTGGTAAAGTTCCGACATCCCAATTCTGCACGTTTGTTCTACTGAACGTGACTGACGGGATCAAAGGGAGAAACTTACAAACAACAAATAGTCCTGTAGCACCTTAAAGACTAACCAAACCTGTAGATGGGACCATGAGCTTTCATGGGCACAGCCCACTTCTTCAGATAAAGGGGATAACAGGGGTTAGGATGGCTGCTGCATAGGGGGCTTTGCCAACACAGGGTGGGGTCCTTAGTGAGCAACGAGACAGAACAGCAGTGAGGCAAAGCGTGACAGTCCAATGGCAAAGGGAACGGCTGATACTCACCACTGACCAGAACTGGTTGTTTTGCTGGAAGAGAAAGAGAAGTTAGGAACGCATCCTGCTCAGCTCCCAGCAGGGAAGCAGAGTGTGCAACTCTAGAATAGCCACATCAGATCTGACCAATAGACCAGTCTAGTCTGATGTCCCTACCCAGGCTGGAGCACGGGGATGAGTCCCACAATCCTGTCTCCTAAAAAGCCCGTCATTCCAGTGCTGGTTTCATCAGTGCCACAGCCATATGTAACATCTCCTCAGTGCTGGTGTGGCTTTCTAGCTCTTAGGCTATGCTGAGATCCCCTGACAGCTCGGGAGGGTTCTTACTCATAGGCATCTAGGCCTGCTTTTATACTCCGCAAGAAACGGGCCCAGTGTTATTCCCACTCACATGATGTGATGTACAATTAATCTGATAGCAGAAGAATTAGCCAAGGTGTCCTAGCACTGCGTTCCTAGCACTGGTGCCAAGAGCAGTGTGACTTCGGAAGGATCCCTTTCCCTGGGGGACATGTCATGCCTGTCCAGGGCACTTATAGGAGAAAAGATCATCCTCCCATGAGGCCACGGGAAACTCAAGGGGGATGGCGATATATCTTGGGATATCTCCCAGGTTCAGTGCATTGTGAGTGACTGCCAAAGGCCTTCTGGGAAAATGTTTCATTGGTGCCTAAAGGAATTGTGGGAATGACACTGTCCCATCAGCCCTGACAATCCCATATCAGCCTCCCAAATCTGTGTTGCCTGGGGATGCTTGGAGGTAGCTCCCGGCAGACATGCCTTCTGAGTGACATGAAACACCTTTGGCCCAATGTCCCATTGCTACCCCTGGGCTAAGGGGGAAGAAACCGACCCTATGTTGGCTTCTGGTGATTTTCATCAGTGCTGTGGAGTTGCAGGACTTTCCATGCGGCCTTTGCCACATGGGTAAACAGAGCCAACGCTCCTTCCAGGCAAATGTTACCAGGGATCAATCTAGCTGAAACAGGGACCATTCGCCTGATGTGTGTGCAGCTAACCAGCAGGGAAAGGGAATCTCTGGGACTTACGTTGTTGTCGTCAAAGCTGCCATCACCCACGTTGCCGGTCTTCACGCTACCGGAGTCCTGCAAGATGGGAAACATTTATGAAGTGTATAATGGTAACACCTATAGGGCTCCAGGAGATAGTCCATCAATCCAGTGGGGCCATGGGAAATTTATATCATCTGGGGATATGGACTATTGAATTCTGTGTTTCTCTGGACAAGGTACACCCTTCGGAATCAGGCCCTGTTGATTGGAACGCAGCAACAGCAAATTTATATCAACTAGGGATCTGTCCCCAACATCATTCCCATCCACGCTGGAAACCAAGCGGTAATCCTTGGTAAAGCAACGACATCCCGATTCTGCACATTTGATATAACAAATCTGACTGACAGAATCAAAGGGGTCAGGATGGTTGTTGCATAGAGGGTATGGCGACAACGGGTTGAGCTGTTAGTGAGCAGTGATAGAGAATAGCAGTGAGGCAAAGCATGACAGTCCAATGGCAAAGAGACCTGCGGATACTCACCACTGACCAGAACTGGTTGTTTTGCTGGAACAGAAAGAGAAGTTAGGGATGCATTCTGCTCAGGCTCCCCAGCAGGGTAGCAGAGCTTCTACTGCCTAGTAACTTCAGAATGGACGGAGGAAATCAGACAGATAGGCCAGTCTACCTCACTGTCCCGCCCCAGGCTGTAACAGGGGAATGAGCCGCTCAGTCCTGTCTCCCAAGAGGCCCCTTATTCCAGTGCTGTCCACCATCAATGCCATAGACATAGGTAAAATCACCCCCATGCTACACCAGCACTTTAGCTCTTATGCTCTGCTGAGATCCGCCCACAGCTCAGGAGGTTACGTATTCATCAAAGCAGCGGAAACAAGATCCATTCACCAGCTGTGTGTGCAGCTGGACGTCATGGAGAGGAAATCTCTGGGACTTACGTTGTTGTCGTCAAAGCTGCCGGCACCCACGTTGCCGGTGTCTACGCTCCCAGAGCCCTGGAAGATGGGGAATATTTATTACGCCTGTTGTAGGGCTTCAAAAAATAGTCCAATGGTGCAACAGACAATGTATAGTGTCTGGGGATGTGGCGTATTCCTTCCAGTGCGTCTCTGGACAATTTACACCACTAGGAGCCTGGCCCTGTTAATTCTAATGAAGCTATGGCAAGTGTACATCATGAACTGGGCCCCAACATCATTCTCATCCATCATGCAAGATGGGAAATATTTGTTATGTGTGTGATGGTAACAGCTGTCGGGCTCCAGCAGATATTCCATTGGCCCAGTGGGGCCACGGGCAATTTATATCATTGGGGAGGTGGGGTGTTGAATCCCGTGTTTCTCTGGATAATTTAGATTATTGGGAATCGGGCGCTGTTAAATGGAATGCAGCTACGGCAAATTTATACCAGCTTGGGATCTGGCCCCCACGTCATTCTCATCCAGGGCTGGAAACCGAGATATAATCCTTGGTAAAGCGCCGACATCCCAATCTGCACATTTTCTATACCAAACCCGACTGACAGGATCAAAGGGGTCGGGATGGCTGTTGCATAGGGGGATTTGCCAACAAATGTTTGGTCTGTTAGTGAGTAGCGCGAGAATAGCCATGAGGCAAAGCGTGACAGTCCGACAGCAAAGAGACCTGCTGATACTCACCACTCTCCAGAACTGGTTGTTTTGCTGGAACAGAAAGAGAAGTTAGGAACGCAGGCTAGTAACCAGCTAGTAACTTCAGAATGGACGGAGGAAATCAGAGCCATAGGCCAATTTGCCTCCCCAGGCTGTAACAGGGGAATGGTCCCATTGTGTGACAGGCCCATTATTCCAGTGCTGTCCACATCAGTGCCATAGACATAGGTAAAATCACCCCCATGCCAGGCCAGCACTTTAGCTCCTATGCTCTGTTGAGCTACCCTCACAGGTTACTCATTCATAGATATCTGGCTCTGCTTGTGTAGTCTGCAAGACACAGGCCATGGGGTCTTCCTCAGAACTCAGCGGATATGATGGAAATTTAATCTGATAGAAAAAGGATCCAGCCTAGTTACCCTTGATGGGACACATTTCACCGTGAGTTCCTAGCACTAGCTTTCCCTGTGATTTTAGATGGGTCCCTTGTGAGAGATTCGGTGGTGGCCAAAGAACCTGCAGGACACTTCATGCCTGTCCATGCACTCACAGGAGGAGAAATCATCCTCCCGTGAAGCCATGGTAAATTCCCATGAGGGTTGGAGATGTGGCCCAAAACTCTGCTGATAGCTTGCAGCTGCCACGCCTTGTGGGCAATTGCCAAAGACCCACTTGCAAACATTCATCGGTGGTCAAAGGAATTGTAGAGATGACACCATGCCAGCAGCCAGGGCAATCCTGCCCAGGCCTCCCACGTATGTGTTCAAGAGGGGACCCACTGAGATACCTCCTAGCTTATACTGTGATGCCTTATTGCTGCCCCAGAGACTGCGGGAGAGAACGTCAACCTGTTATAAACCTCTGGAGACTTTCATAAGCCCTGTGGAATGGGAGGAATTTCCATGCTGCCTGAACAACATGGGAAAACTTACTCAATGCTGCTTGTGGGGAAATGTTAACAGACATCCAACTAGCTGAAGCAAGATCCATTCACCAGCTGTATGCAGCTGGATGCCATGGAAAGAAAATCCCTGGTACTTACGTTGTTGTCGTCAAAGCTGCCGTCACCCACGTTGCCTGTGTCTACGCTACCAGAGCCCTGCAAGAAGGGGAATATTTATTAAGTATGTAATGGTAACACTTATACAGTTCCAGCAGATATTCCACGAACCCAGTGGGGCCATGGGAAATTTATATCATCTGGGGATATGGGGTATTGAATTCTGTGTTTTTCCAGACAAAGAACACCTTTGGGAATCAGGCCCTGTTGATTGGAACACAGCAACAGCAAATTTATACCAACTAGGGATCTGTCCCCAACATCATTCTCATCCTCGCTGGAAACCAAGCGGTAATCCTTGGTAAAGCACCGACATCCTGATTCTGCATATTTGTTATAACAAATCTGACTGGCAGAATCAAAGGGGTCAGGATGGTTGTTGCATAGGAGGAATGCCAAACAACAGGTTGGTCTGTGAGTGAGCAGTGAGACAGAACAGCAGTGAGGCAAAGCATGACAGTCCGACAGCAAAGGGAGCGACTGATACTCACCACTGACCAGAACTGGTTGTTTTGCTGGAACAGAAAGAAAAGTTAGAAACGCATCCTGCTCAGGCTCCCCAACAGGGTAGCAGAGCTTGTAGTGCCTAGTAACTTCAGAATGGACAGATAGGACAGTCTACCCCGCTGTTCCTCCCCGGGCTGTAACAAGGGAATGAGATGCTCAGACCTATCTCCCAAGAGGCCCCTTATTCCAGTCCGGACCTCAAAGACATAAGTAAAATCACCCCCACGCCACGCCAGCACTTTCGCTCTTATGCTCTGCTGAGTTCCGCTCACAGCTCAGTAGGTTACTCAATCACCAATCCAGCTGAAACAAGATCCATTCACCGGCTGTGTGCAGCTGGACGTCATGGAGAGGAAATCTCTGGTACTTACGTTGTTGTCATCAAAGCTGCCGTCACCCACGTTGCCAGTCTTTACACTACCGGAGTCCTGCAAGATGGAGAATGTTTGTCATGTGTTATGGTAACATTTGTAGGGTTCCAGCAGATATTCCATCGACCCAGGGGACCCATGGGCAATTTATATCATCTGGGGATGTGGCATATTGATTCCTGTGTTCCTCCGGACAAGTTACACAATTAGGAATCAGGCCCTGTTGATTGGAATGCAGCCATGGCAAATTTATATCACCTAGGGTCTTGTCCCCAACATCATTCTCATCCATGACTGGAAACCAAGAGATAATCCTGGGTAAAGCACCAACATCCCAATTCTGCCCATTTGCAGCACGAAAACGACTGACAGGATGAAAAGTTTCAGGATGGCAGGTTTGAAGAGGGTTTTGCCAGGAAAGGGTTGGACCATAAGGCTATGTCTACACTGCTGAGCTATTTCAGGATATCAGAAGTATCCTGAAATAGCAATTCTGCATCTTTACACGCACCCGTTACTTCGAAATATCTTTCAAAATAACGGGCGTGCTATTCTGGCATCTCTGTAACCCTCGTTCATGAGGTTTAAGGGATTTGTCAAAATAGCACTTTATTTCAAAATTACATCGAAATAAGCTACGCAATTTGCATAGCACAAATTGCGTAGTTTATTTCAAGGTAAGGGTGCTGTGTAGATGCACCCTTGGGGTATGTCTAGACTACAGGCTTTTGTCGACAGAAGTTTTGTCAACGGTATCTGTCAACAAGGCTTCTGTCGACAAAGAGCGTCTAGACTACATCCAGTTCTGTCAACAAAGCAAGCTGCTTTGTCGACATGACAGTGTAGACGCAAAGGACAGTGTAGATGCAGAACTCTGTCGACAAAAGGCGTTATTCCTTGTAAAATGGGGTTTACTGCCGTCAACAAAACTGCTGAGTTCTGTCGACGTTATGTCGACAGAACGCAGCGGCAGTGTAGACCCAGGTATAGTTTTGTCGACAAAAGTCCACTTTTGTCGACAAAACCCTGTAGTCTAGACACACCCTTAGGATACATCTACACAACAGGGCTAAAATCAGAATAAACTATGCAACTTCAGCTATGTCAGTTACGTAGCTGAAGTCAAAAGAGCTGAATTAGGCTTTAGGCACTGTATACATGGCAGGAAGTTGAAGGAAGAACATTCTTCCTTCGACTTCCTGCACTCCTCATGAAATGAGGGCTACAGGTGTTGGCATAAGAAGCTCTCCAGCTCGACATTATTTTGAAATAATGGCTTGTAGTGTCGACACGTTATTTCAGAATAACGTCAGTTATACTATACTATTATATTATAACAACACTGCTGTGTAGATGTACCCTTAGTGAGCAGTGATAGAGGATAGCACCAAGGCAAAGCACCATAGTCCAATGGCAAAGAGAATGGCGGATACTCACCACTGACCAGAACTGGTTGTTTTGCTAGAACAGAAAGAGAAGTTAGGAATGTCAAGGTTTCCCTGAGAGGACAGTTTTCTAGGACAGAGGACAAAGGTGAGGACAGAGTTCCTAGCACTGGTGCCAGGAGTAGTGTATTCCCTGTGCTTTCGGAAGGATCCCTTGTGAGAGATTTAGTGGCTATCCAAAGGTATGGGTTAGGGGACACTTCATGCCTGCCCAGTACACTTGCCAGAGGAGAAGTCATCCTTCCAAAAGGCCATGGGAAATTCTTATTAAGCCCCAAGTGGGTATGGGGATGAACCCCAAAACTCTGCAGATATCTCCCTGGTGCAAAGCATGTGGCGAATTGTCAAAGATGTTCTTGCAAGAGATTTCTTTGGGGTCTGAAGGAATTGTGGAGTGACACCGTTCCATCAGCCCTGGCAATCCCATCTCAGCCTCCCAAAACGTGTTCTCCTGGGACCCACTGAGGTCACTCCCAGAAGAAGTGCTTTCTGCGTGATATCAGAAAGGCTCGGTTGGCAGGTCTCACTGCTACCCAGGGCTGAAAGGGAGGAAGTCAACCTGATCTGAGCCACTGCAGGTTTTTATCAGCGCTGTGGATCAGCAGGACTTTCCAGGCTGCCTGAACAGCCTTGGAAAAGGCAGCTTTTTATCAGCGCTGTGGATCAGCAGGACTTTCCATGCTGCCTGTGCAGCCTTGGAAAAGGCAGCCAGTGCTGCTTGCAGGCAAATGTTACAGACAACAAACTAGCTGGTGCGTGTGCAGCTACACGGCACAGAGAGGAAATTTCTGGTACTTACGTTGTTGTCATCAAAGCTGCCATCACCCACGTTGCCAGTCTCTACGCTACCGGAGTTCTGCAAGAAGGGGAATATTGATTACACCAGTTGTGGTGACACCTGTGGGTCTCCAGTAGATGTTCCATCCATCCAGTGGAGCTATGGACCATTTATATCATCTGGGGATGTGGTACATTGAATCCTGTGTTTCTCTGGACAAGTTATACAGGTGGGGAGCTGTCCCTGTTGGTTGGCATGCAGCTATGGCAAATTTACATCAGAGGGGATCAGTCCCTAGCATTCACATCCATCAATGGAGGCACCATTGAGACAAAGCGTGACAGTCCGATAGCAAAGAGAATGGCTGATACTCACCACTGACCAGAACTGGTTGTTTTGCTGGAAGAGAAAGAGAAGTTAGGAACGCATCCCGCTCAGGTCCCCACCTGGGTAGCAAAGGTTTGAACTGCAGAACAGTCACCTCACTCTGGTCTGATGTCCCTTCCCAGGCTGGAACAGGGAATGGGCCCCCCGATCCTGTCTCCTAAAAGGTCTGTCATTCCAGGACTGCCCTCATTAATGCCAACGCCATAGGCAATGTCTCCTCATGCCACTCCAGCCCTTTAGCTCTTATGCTTTGCTGAGATCCCTTCAAGGGTAACTAGTTTTCCTATTGATCGTCATCATGTTCTTCTGTTCCAGTCTGCAGGAAACAGGCCACGTGCTATTCCCACTCTCAGGACATGATGCAGGTTCAATCTAATTAGCACAGGAGTCAGCCAAGGGATCCTTGAGAGGGCAGAATTTACGCTGACTTCCTGGCACTGGTGCCAGGAGCAACAAATTCCCTGAGCTTTGGCGAGAGCCAAGTGATCTGTGGGACACTTCACGGCTGTCCAGGAGAAATGTGTAGGAGAAATTTCCACGAGGCCTCCAGTGGGGAAAAGGATTTATCCCCAAGTGCTTCGAATAGCTCCCAGGTGCAATGCATTGTGGGGGATTGTCAAAGACCTTGCAAGATGTTTCAAGGGTGCCCAAAGAAATTGCGGAGTTGACACCGCCCCATCAGCCCTGGCCATTCCAGATCAGCCTCCCAGACATGTGCTCATCTGGGGACCCACTGATGAATCTCCCAGCAGAAGTGCCCTCAGCATCTTGATCTAAGCCTTGTGAAGTGGGAGGAATTTCCAGGCTGCCTTCGCAGCATGGAAAACGCAGCCAACGCTCCTGATAGGCAAACTGTGACCAGACCTCAAACTAGCTGAAACAGGCGCATTCCCCTGGTGCGTGTGTAGCTACACGGCACAGAAAGGAAATCTCTGGGACTTACGTTGTTGTCGTCAAAGCTCCCGTCACCCACGTTGCCGGTGTCTACACTACCAGAGCCCTGCAAGAAGGGGAATATTTATTACCCGTATTGTAGGATTCCAGTGGATAATCCATTCACCCAATGGGGCAATGGACAATCTGTAGCCTTTGTGGTTGTGAAGTTTTCATTCCAGTGTTTCTCTGGGAAGTTTACAGCAGTGGGAACCTGGCCCAGGTGATTCCAATGAAGCTACTGCCCATGTACATGAACTAGACTTCTGGCCCCAGAGTTACTCTCGTCCACTGCTGGAGACCAGTAGATAAATCTCAGAAAAGCTCCCATTTCCCTAGGCTGCATAATTTGTTACCCCCTCCTGACTGATGGAGGATAGGTGGGCAGGAGAGCAGTTCCCCAGGTAGTTTTGCTAGCAAAGGAGTCAGCTGCCACGATGCTTTCGAGGCAAATCAGAGTAGTCCAACAGCAAAGATAAGTGCTGTCCATCACCGCTGCCCAGAATAGACGGTTCTGCAGCATCAGAAGGAAAAGTTAGCTCTGAGTACTGTCCCGCTCCCCACCACGATACCAGAGGTTTGTCACTGAGTAACTAAAGTGCCACACCCGATCAGAACCCTAGGTCAGTCTACCCGGATATCTCTCCCTAATCTGGGGCAATCTAGCCTTGCTTCTAGCTGTAGTGCAATGTGTGATTACAGAACCCCTTTGAGAGATATCTTGGGTGCCTAAGGGAACTGTGAATTATCAGCATCCCATAAGCCCCTGGAAATCTCCCATAAGCCTCCTCTGTGTTCTAAAGTAGCTCTCAGAGCAGTGCCTTCTGGGAGCTAATGGAAATCTGCTTTATTGGCTATGCAGGAGAATTGCAGGAGATGTGCTCAACCTGCCATAAGCTTGTGCCAGTGTTGTCTTCAAGTCGTCATAGTCAAGTCCAAGTTGAGTCTCAAGTCCCTACAGTTCCAGTCTCGAGTCTCAAGTCCCTTTCAAGTCAAATCCCAAGTCGAGTCTCAAGTCTTAGTTTAAAAAATGTCAAGTCACTTTTGTAAAGCCATCAATATCGGCATTTTCGGACAATTTTTTCACCAAGTCAATTTAACACAATTAGCAAGTCTCAAGTTGAGTCTCAAGTCACAAACAATGAACCCGAGTCGAGTCTCAAGTCGAGTCACCTAGGCGACTTAAGTCGGACTTGAGTTCAAGTCGTGGGACTTGAGTCAACAACTCTAGCTTGTGCAGATTTTCGTAAACCTCCTGGAGCCGGTGGCATATCTGCATTGCTTTTGTACCATGGCTACACGCCAGGAAATGCTCCTTGCTTGGTAGCCTTTACCAGACCAGAAGCCAGGGGGAGCAGTTGATTGAGAGAAGCCACGTGACACGAGGAGAGAACCGCTGACAGTTTATGCTGTTGTCATTAAAGCTGCTTTCACCCACTTTTTTGTTACTGATGCTACCAGAGCCTTGGAAGATGAAGGGTGTTTACTGTGTGGATTACGGTAACTTCTAGAGCCCCCCTCCTGATTGTCCATTGACAACATGAGCTACAGACAATTTACATCATCAGGCGAGCTGTCCTCATTGACTCGAGTAGTGCCATAGGCCGTTCGCCACAGCCGTGGCCTCATCCTAACATCATCCCATCCATGCAAACCCTTCAATAGCCCTCAGAAAAAAACCCTGCACCCCAAGGCTGCGTAATTGGTTTCCCCCAGCCAGATGAATGGCTAAAGAAGCAGGGCAGGAGGACAGCCACCTAGGGAGTTTTGCCGGCAAACGATTGTGCTGTTAGCGAGCGGCGAGGTCGGATGCTGCAAAGCATGGCAGTCTGCTCGCAAAGGGGGCGGCTGATACTCACCACTGACCACAACTGCTTCTTCTGCAACAAGAGAAGGAAAAGTGAGGACTGTCCGCTGTTCTCCCCCTCCCTCCCCCTGCACTACTAAAGGCCTGTCTTGCAGGAATAATTGCTGCTCCAGGTGAGTCCCTGATATCCCAGAGGACTGGGCGCCCTGCTATCCTGCCTCCCACAGCGGCTGCCTGGCGGCAAACGATTGTGCTGTTAGCGAGCGGCGAGGTCGGATGCTGCAAAGCATGGCAGTCTGCTCGCAAAGGGGGCGGCTGATACTCACCACTGACCACAACTGCTTCTTCTGCAACAAGAGAAGGAAAAGTGAGGACTGTCCGCTGTTCTCCCCCTCCCTCCCCCTGCACTACTAAAGGCCTGTCTTGCAGGAATAATTGCTGCTCCAGGTGAGTCCCTGATATCCCAGAGGACTGGGCGCCCTGCTATCCTGCCTCCCACAGCAGCTGCCTTCACTGTGTGTCTGTGCAGCACCCGGCCTCCAGAGCCCAGATTCCAACGGGGTCCAGGTCCCTCCCTAGTTGTGTGTCTCTTGAACACCCGGCACAATGAATCCTCCCCAGGGTGCAGGCAGGGACTGTCACTTCTGGGTCAGGGCGGCGCCCGCACCTGGGGTCCTGGCTTCACGGGGGCCCTCTAAGGCTACTGCAATACAAATCCTGAAGCACTTGATCTCACCAGCGGAGCTGCTCTGGTGCTCTGCAGGGAGAGGAGCCCCACGAGGAAAGCGGCCACACACGGCACCTTCATTGTCGCTTCTCTCCTGTCTCGGGAGCCGCGTTGTTTCTAGTCCGGCACCCGCAGTGGACACTGGCGAGGCGGAGCCCTGTATTTATACTGTACACGGTGTTCAGCACGGCCCACTTCATAGTGCCAAACTCTGATAATGCCACTACAGCGAGAGCCAATATCTCCCTTCTCCTCTGGGCTCTCCCATTCACCCTCTCCCGCTCACACCCGCACTCCCTGTTAATCTTTCCTCCACCACACCCTCCAGCCTAGACTTTCACACTCCCTTTAGCATTCTGCAGCAATCCCAGGCGTTCTAGAGGATGAGCAAGGTTAGGCCGTAGAAAACAGCTCACCAGCGGTCATGGGGTTGGAGCGCACATTTGAAAACGGGAATTAGGTTCCTCAGTCACCTGGGCACTTTGTGTTGCCATCACTGAAGCGGCACCACGCCCCTCCCGGCATTGCTCATGGCCACATGGAGAGATCCATCTACTCTACCGCCTGCGTGGGCAAAACTTAGGTCACTCAAGGGTGTGAATATTCCACCCACATCCCAGGTATGTGGGTGCGAAAGCTTCTGCCAACAGAGCTTATGCTGCTGAGGGGGAGGCCTGGCTTTTTTATGCCGACATAAAATAGAACCTTATCGATAGAACCTTATCGATAGAACTATTGGTGCTTCATTTTCTGAGTGGCTGGACGCCAGCTGAACAGGAAGTGTTTCACGCATCCCTAGAATGTAAACCCAGACGGCTCTGTTCTGAGCATCCAGTCCAGGGCTACTCAACATGTGGCCCGTGGCCTGTTTGTTTGTGGCCCATGGTGCGGTTTGGCTTTACATGGGGCTCAACACGCCGCCTGCGGGTGGGATCCTTTGAACGTGGCCTCCACTGGGAACACGCTCCACAACGGTGAGGCATCTCCTGGGCAGGGTGAGCACTGAAAGATGCAAGCGGACGGGCTGGCTGGAACAGACGGGTACACAGTGTCGGCCTTTCTAGCTGCAGGGAGGAGATGCCGAGAGCGCGAGGGCATTGTGTGAAAGAAGCTATTTGCATATATTTGCATATACATTTGCATGTATGTGCAACCACACACAAGTTGCGGCCCTCGGCATGTGCTGGGAGAATCATTGTGGCCCCCGGGGCTTCCAAAGCTGAGCAGCCCTGGTCTAGGCGGAGTTCCCACAAATCTCAAATTCCAGAGAAACTCCTCCAGTGAGTTCTTCTTCGAGGCCGTACCTTCTTTGTGAGCGGTAGCCTCTCGTTGCGAACAGCATCCAGTCTTCACTCACTGGGCTCCGAAGCGTTGCAGCACCGAGGCAGAAAGAGCCAATATGATCCCCAGGGGTATGCAAAAGGGACCGTCAGCCGGGCGGAGGGTGGGAGAAGACCGTGTCCCTGTGTAGGGTGTCGCTCAGACCACTACTTAAATGCGGTGTCCACTTCTGGCGGCTTCACTTGAGGAGAGATGGGGAAACACTGGAGAGAGGGGTGGGCGAGATTCTGTGGCCTGCACTGTGCAGGGGGTCAGACTAGATGATCATAATGGTCCCTTCTGACCTTAAAGTCTATGAGTCTATGAGTCTATGAGTTCCCAGAAGGGCTGCACAGCAATTCAATGGCTAGAAAACCAGGCTTGCCTGAGCAGACCCTTGATCACTGAATGTAGCTGCTGCTGCCTGGAAAAGACATCTGCTAGCAGGGCGCTTTCCCGTCTTGCTGGTAAAGGCCCTACAGGTTTGACCTCTCTGGTCCAGATTTCCATAGTCCAGCCCCATCTGTGGTCCCGCATCCCCTGGGCGCTCCCAAGCTGGAGCCATCACCGGGAAAAGCTGGGCCCCACACTCAGCAACTCCTCCCTGCCCTCCCAGAACTTCCAAAGGGAGGGAGTTTCCCAGGGAGGCGGAGGGTGGATGAGGGGACCCCGGGGAAAGAGGCCGGGTGACTGAAGCCCTGCAGCCAAAAGCTCAGACCTGAGGCCGAGTGGAGGGGGCTGGGAGAGCAGCTTGGAAGCCGTGGGGCTCAGTGAGCTCCCGTGGGGCTGTGCTCTGGCCCCAGGCTGTGCCCCCCCCCCGCCTCTCCCCGTGAGCGCCCCCCAGGCCCTGGTTGGTCTATGCCCGCTGTCATGTTATTGGATTCTAAAGATCACTGTTGCACCCATGGGGGGGGGGGGGCGCCCCAAAAC